TTCCTGATGTTAATTATTTCTAAATAAAGGAAATGGCCATAACTGCTGTACATCAAGTTAAATCCATAAAACAATCATGAAACTTCGCATTTAATGAACCATGCTGATTAATAATCTGTATAGATTATTATTTTATAGATTATAGATACACCGGTATAGAAAAGACCTTCAATTCACTAAATTTCCAGTGATTCCATAGTCAGGGATCACATTTTAAGTATCTGCCAGCATGCTGCCTGGCACTTTGGGATCCCAGCATGTGATTGAGAGCACTCCAAATCTATTGACTGAGACTTTTCAGAACTAATGGAAAAGTAACCTGCTGTTGGTCAAAATTGAAAACAGAAGGGATGTCAAAGCAATGGCATCTACAAACAGTTGCTTGCTTCACAAAGAAACGCAGTCAACAGCTGATGCTGTTGAACAACCTCTGTCCTTGTGGACTTTCACCTAAAATGGCAGAGCTGCCTAAAGTTCAGTTCACTGCCAGTTGTGGGAGAAACTGGCAACAGCAGTTGTGACAGATGATGTTAATGTCTTGCTATCACTTCATTCACACAGCCTTAGCATTTGAAAAAAAAAAAACAAACAGGGAAGCTTGGGTCTGCTGAAATGAAAAGCAGCTCCTGAAGTTGAGAAAAATGCTGTTATGAGGAAGAGCATTGCCCCTAGTGCCATCTGTGTATCTACGAGTCCCCTATTTGGTAAAGAAATGGTTATACCCAATTTGATACTTGATGTGATTAGAATTGGCATCCAGCAACAGACTGTTTAGAAGCTCGGGTGCTCAAACCTCACTTGAGACCCTTAAAGCCTTATAGCAAAACCCGTATAATTGGTCAGAACATGGGCTCTCTTCACGCTCTGGAGTAAGATTCGGCTTTCCTCTGTTATCAACACTGATTGTATTGCTGAATCATTACAGGTTACAGAGGAGACAAACAACGTCCTGCAGACACTGGGGTACATGAGCACTTGCAGAGGAATAATAAATGTAAAAGGAAAAGGAGAACTGAAGACATACTTTGTACATACTGAAATGACAAGATCCCTTTCACAAGGGAACGTGGCGTCTTGAAGAATGCTTGTACGTGTCATCAGTACCATATTTTCAGGAAAGTATCACGCACTTTTTAACTACATTTTGGCCCTTAACATGCGTGCTATTTTCTGGTATGTGGCACTTATTTTAATATGGCTGCAGAATAGTCCCATGAGCCATCATTTTGCACCTTGATTTCCTATGTTCAAGGACAGTTGCAATGTACGCTATAGGACTGGAAGATTGTACTGCTACTTGCACTGTTATTCAAAGTCAAGAAAAGAAGGAATAGGAATTACAATGAGATAACTCATCCTGAAAGGACTGAAAAGAGGTGTTAGTGACAAATGTGGGAAAAAAGGCAATAAAGCTAGGGGTGCATACTATTTTCTGATGCATGGTGTTTTCTGGAAAATACAATCGCTCCCCAATAGCATCCACTAATCTGGTATTAAAGTATACAGTATTTGTAAATAAGTTTACTCTGTCCACATATGATTTGGATGTGATCACCAGTTGCATCTCATAGCCAGGGACACGTTGGGTGGCTTGCTGGCATTCTTTCTGAGGAGAGAACTAACAATGCTGGAATAGTTTTGTACAAACGTGTCAAATGTTTTGAAGCTATTGTCTTTTGTAAGGTTAATTCATTAAAGGTTTATATGTACTTTGTTTTACTGTTGCTGTCTCTTAGTTTTGCTTCCTTCCATGGCTTCTGTCGCTTCAAACCTGCGCGTCCTCTGCTGCTGCTGCTGCTGCTTTTTATTCAGCAGTTAGACATCGAGGCAGGCTCTGGCCAGCTGTCTCAATAGCCTCGGTCAATAATATCTGCTAGATTTGCCGTTGCCTTCAGAACTTGAATCATCTCTATTGCCTTCAGTCTTGTGTGGCATCCTAGGCACTTTGCAGTCATTTACTCCCTAGGTGATACAGGAGACTTGCCTCAAATCCATAAACACAAGTGAAGTGGGCGATACTGGAAACAGCAGTAGTGTTACTTTGCAACTGGCCCGCAATGCTTAAACAAAAACTAGGAGAAGCTGTATAAGAGAAGAAATGTTTTGTTTGTTTTGCACTTTGACAACCTCTTTTGCCCTTGCATGCCTTTCACTTCACCTTTACAATGCTGGATTTTATGGGATATTTAAAATCATCTAATTTATCAAGACATGAGTATGAGCGGAAGATACAAAAATGCTACTTTGTGGATATTCAAAACTAATTTAAATCCTGTTGAATTAAAAAGTATCATGCTTACGGTGTTTCATAGATGAGCAAGATGAAAGACTGAAAAAACAGATAATTGTACTATATGCTCCTTTGAAGCATAGACAGTAAAGATTAATTTTTGCTTTGCTATAATCAGTACTTGAAATTAACATATTATTTTAGTCATAACATCCTAACAAGATCAAAATTAATAAAATCCCCCTATTTGCAAAATGGCATATAATTACAATATTTTTTCTGACTGATATTGCATGAACATAGAAGTCAACTTATGCACCATTAGCTCTGGCACGTTATGCAAATGTAAAAAGTATTCAGTTTTCTCATTCATGAAGCACGTATTTACATTTGTATTGCACTGGTGTCCTTTCAGAAGTCATTCTTGAAATCGTGGATCACAAATAAATGGCATCAGGCCACAGTCTCACTGAGTGCGGCATGGCTTACTCACAGCAGCCATCTGCCCACTTGCAAATTGGAATGGCAGTAGATTTCAAAATGCCTACATCTGTAGTAAAATAGACAATCTGAATTTTGATCCCTTTAAGTTAGTCTGAAAGCAAAATGCAAGTCATTTCAGTTACGTCCGACATAACACACTTGACATCTCACCCAGAGCTGCAGACTTTTGATCAGTAACTCTCAAGATAGGTGCTCAGTCTAATAAAATCTCATTAAAAATATTGTGCTGTCTTTCCGATTTCTTCCTTCTAATTAATAAGTTAAGATAAATATCTTCCAGTCGAATGAAAGACGTTCCAAATAGCTCACATGGCAGCAGAAACAGCATCTCAGTCATTGCCTAAAACAATCTGTCACTCAGCTTTGCTTAAGACACCTCCTAAATCCATCGTCTCCACTTACTATAAATTCGTCCTAGGAACACTTAAAAAAATGATTAATCCCTTAGAATTCGGCTGTACTATGGGCCCTTAAAGTCACTCTGGTATTACCACAGGTCAGAGAAATCATTTCTTACTGTGCATGAAAACCCTTTATGTGAAGATGATTATATTGTACTGCCGTATCTATATGCAGCTCAGGTATAACCTGTACCTTCAAGATTTTGCTTTTCATTTGTGTTCTTGCACATCAGTAGCAAACCTTGTACCTAACTTCATAGCCTTGTTTCTATGTTTTTGATAAACAATATTATATTTCTGTAAGCCATGAAACGTTAAAACATTTGAATGGCTGTGAGCTGACTGGTCCAATGAAATACAAAGAAAGATATATACGTGCCTGCCAAAAGCATGTTGAAAATGCCGTTGTTCAGAGCACTCATGTTTCACTGGTGTTCTCTCATTTTGTAGTTGCATTCAGATTCTTGCAGACAAATCCTGCTAAAGAACAAGAAAGTGGGATACAGATGATTATACATGCAGTACGATGCCCAGACAAAGAAAGGTGCATACCATCCTCTCTCTAGCCTTCAGTTGCTGAGTAGTGTTATTATCTTTCTAGTGCCGAGAAGCTATTTGTATCCAATAAATACTTTTTGTCTTCCAATGCATTTTTCATCTACTGTTTATACCATTTTATTTTTCCCCTGTCTGGATTGACCCAGAGTTCTTGTATCCTCTTTCTTCCTCTCCTGTGGCAATTTCATCTGCCTCAATAACTGGATATAACACTGCTCACGTATCAGTGTGTAACTTGAAAAGCTTTATGGTAACCATACAAGTCAATATTTGACATTCCTTATATTCTACATCACAGTAAGGCTCAAGTTCTATGACTTCCGTGTTGGTGCCGTAGTTCATAGGTCGCTATCGAACCACAAAGGGCATGACTTCCAAAAGTACGATGCAAACGTATTTCACACTGTGAGGCAGCAGCCGAAAGGTCAATGTAAGAGTGGTTCACTGTGATCTGGGAAAATGACATCCAAACGGGAACACCTGGGGAGCCTGCTGGATTTCTTTTTTTAAGTCAATGCTTTGCTCCAACTTATGGAGGGCTACCAAAGGACAGGAAGAAAGATTAGACTTGCAGATATTTTTGTTAACTACCAAAGTAGCTGAGATTACCTGTAAGTTAATGCTATTTAGCTGCTGTTTCTGAAAAGAGGCATTAGCATCTTATTTATGCTATGTGAAAAGCATGTTTCATTCTCTTTGTATTCCTTCACGATTCCTCTATTTTGTAAAATATCTACAGACCTTCCCTTTTTCCACTGAGGCACAGGTAGGAGTTCAACCTGCTTGTTTCTAAAGCGGCAGCTGTGCGCATCTGAAGGTAGAGCTGTTGAAAGTCTCTCCTGTTTTGTTTTCAGAACCTTGTTTCAGGTCAAATAATTAGCTATGTTGTCAGGATGCTTTATATACCAGCACATTTACTGTTAAAAGCAATGATTACCTTGTCCTTTGATATGTAGTTTTCCTTTGGTTGTACTTCTGCATGAAGATACTTTAATTTTTAATTTTCAGATAGTATATTCTCCTTCACTTGACCTAGGTACTACCCTTCAACACTTTTTACAGGTGGACCACAAAAAATTTTAAGACTAAAGCTTTTTAGTTTCATTCTTCATTTCTTGTCTGAAACAGTGGAGTGACTCCGGGGAGGAAACGAATGTAGAATGAGATATATGTGCCTTAAATAAAACATGTAATCAAGAGAGTATTTTTGTTCCTTGAAGTACCTCAAATCTGTGTGGATTGGTCAAAAGTGGTATATAAATCAACTGTAGCTGTCTCATCCTAAAGTTTGCTACATACTAATTGTAAACATTTTCAAATTTAAGGGCAGGAATTATTCAGGCCAATGTAGTTTTTAATGTGTCAAAATGCACAATAAAAACATTTTATCCTGTTTGCAACTATGAAGATATGAACCCTTTTATGTTTTAGGATGCCAGTGTTCAAAACAGAGATTGTGCCAAGAATAGTTTGAAGTTTTTTAGTGGAGTATTTTTCAAATATATTTGTATTCATCATTGAGATGCTCCTCATGAAAATCTCCGTTTTGACAGGAAAAAATGCACATGAAGTATTTTGAAAGATTGACATTCCAGGACCATTTTTTGACATTCCAAACATTTTTGTGTTTGCATTCCAAAACAGTGTTCCTAATAACAGCTGTTAGGAAAGTAATGTCACCTCATGTATACCACTGTGTATTACTCTGCTTACCACAGAATATTCATCTGAATTGGAGTATTCATCCGAAATGGAGTATCCATTCAGCAGATACCAGTCAGCATACAAGTAATAATTGCAAATTATATCAGCCAACCAGTTATCATTTTATAATTGTTTTTAAATTATTAAAATAAAAATAATTATAATTATTTGAAAAGCCTAATTCTCCAGTCAAGCAGTTGAAATTGTAGTCACAAGCCAACCAGGAAACGTTTGAAATCTGCAGACCGAGGCACAGTCATAGTAATTGTGTAGAGAATTACTTGAAACAACAGATGCATTCAAAAAAAGTTAAAAAATTTCCTGAGTAGCTCATGAACGAAAAATCCTTGAAGACTGCGAAAGGTGTGCTGACTTCTGCAGGTGCTGTACAGTTGTCTCTGTCTCCTTCAGAAAACCTCTGAAGAATTTGAGAAGGTCGGTCTGTTACTAATTCAGGGTCTGGAAGAAATGAACACTTGCGTGAAACGACTGGCTTGGACCAAAGCTGTGGTAGTGGAAGGGGGACAGGATTTTTGAGTCGGTTTTCATAGATTTCTAGATTTCTAGGTTGGAAAAGACCTTAGAGATCATCGAGTCCAACCATTTTTGTTTCAGCCTCTTTTTCAAGGGCCAGTAGATGGAACTTTTGTGGCAAAGGCCGTCTCCCTTTCGCAGCTCAGAAGAGGGTCAGGAACACACAGAAATCTGATACACGCTGAGGTCAGACAGCAAGGACAGGAGATGAATTGCTAAACCTTAATTTGACAGCAGGCCAGCCATCTCAGCTCTAAGTGACGTGAGTTTTAAACAGGTACATCAGCTTGCAGTAAGAAAACAGATGCTGTGGTTTTTCTGCATGTCAATGACCTGTCCACTTACATGTCATCTGTCCTCATGTGCAGATCCGTCCTGTCCTGTCCCTGTCCCCTGTCATTGTCATCTCTGCTGTGTCCTGCCCACCCCCTGCGCCTGTTACCATTTGCTTCACAAACTCCTTTCAGGAATTTTCTTGCAAACTTATTCCATAAGCCAGTTTGACATTTCAGAACAGTGCCTTTGCCTTTGAGATACCTCTGTGGCTATAAAAGCACATATGAATGTATTGGAAATTCAGGACCCTTAGCAGAGGAACCTGAGGCAAGTGTTACTACTGTCTAAAAAGGCAGGCAATTGCACTTCTTCTCCGTAAGACATTGAATTCAAAGCAACTTGTAACACTTTGGTCTCTGAGCTCAGCTGTATTTGAATGTATAGTTTTGAGCATATAGATTGAAATTGCTCCATCACCCTCTCACATTTGTTTACATGTTGGTATTTAAGTTA